TAAAAATCTGAAGAAGGAATAAATAAAATCATCCTATTTATAACCGAATGGGAATAATTAAATGTCCAGGAATTAACAAAGTCAAAGAGGTGAAAGACCTGTAATATCCAAAGTATGACTCTGCAGGAAAAAGTTGAGATGGACAGACATACAAAAAAGAAGGATAATATATGCTCATAAATTGGTAAGGGTAAATTGTTTCCTGATGACCACACTTTCCAAAGCAATTTAGATATATAATGCAATTTCTATCAAACTGCCAATTTTATTCTTCTCAGAACTGGAACAAATCATTCTAAAGTCTATATGGAACCACAAAAGACGCCCCCCCCCCCCATAGCCAAACCAATCTTGAGAAAGAGGATCTAAATTGGAGAGATTATAATCCCAGATCTCAAACCACACTACAAAACTATTATTTTCAAAACAGCATGGTATTGTCTCCTAGGAAAAAAAGAAAACAACACACAAAGATTTATGGGAACAGTTAGAAAGCCCAGAAATAAATCCTCACTTTTGTGCACAAGTAATGTATGACAAAGGAGGCAAAACTATACACTGGAATAATGACACTTTCTTCTACAAGTGATCTTGAGAAAACAGAAGAGGTACATGCTAAAGAGAGACCTAAACACTCTTCAATGATATACAAGAATGCACTTAAACTGAAGCCATCCTAACCCAACTTTTCCAGAATTCCAACTGACCACATCCCCACTCACATCTTTCTGCCTTCCAGCTGATTCCAGCCCTACCTGTCTTATACCAGACCTGCCTCTGTTCTTAAAAGGTTTTTCCAGATACCTCATTTTTTTCAATAGCTCAAAACCTGAGTCACAAGTGTTAAAAAAACTCCACTGTTAGAACCCTGGGGTTCTGGCTGAGGCCTACCCTGACTCATGGGAGACCTTCAGAAAAGAGACCCCAAAGAGCACGTGAGACATTCTTACAGTTTTCTAAGACTGGGTCTCATATTTGGCAACATGTAGGAAACTCGATCAAGTATGTATTTTGTGTGTAAGGCTTCTGATGGAAATATTGCAGTCACACAAAGGAATGAAGCACTGATACTTGCTCAGATGTGTATGAGTATGGATGAACTTGTTCCAAGTGAGAGGAGCCCAGTCATCACAGACAACAAACAGTGTGATTCCATTCCTATGAAATAGCCAGAACCATGACACTCTAGATGGAGACAGCAGATTGGGTGGTCTGGAGTTGGGGGCTGGGGGCAGTGGTGGTGGTGATGGTGGTGTGGTGTGAAGTGGGCTAGGAGAGGAGGGAGTGGGGTGGGAGGGGAGAACAAGAAAGGGAAGGAGAGGAAAAACGCCAAAGGAGCTACTTAGTTCATGACACTGGATGTGGGTGCTATTCTGAGAGTTGTGTTGTTGTTGTTTTAAACATAAAACAACACACAACTGCCCTGAACACACAAGAAGTAACCTGTGTGGACTTAAACCGGGATCAGCCACCACACCACCACTGGCATTTGGCAGAAATTAAATCGAAGGCAGAGGAAGGAGTGGGAAGAATCACTAACTTACTTTTCTGCAGGCCACAGGCATCAATGTTCTAAAAGGAACATGACCTCATTTTCCAGATACGTGAAAGAAATTTATACTTGAGATACTTCTATGTGCTATTTCTAAATGATATGCATAAATGAAATCAATGACGGCAGCTGTTATGACCACTTGCCACCAACCTCTAAACCTTCTTCCATTCACTGCTGTGCCTGGTGCACCCCATCTCCCCTCCCTCCCTGTGTCCTTTCCCTGCTCACCTCCCTCCTCAGCCCTCCACATCTCCCACCCTCAGCCCAGCCTTGTGGTCGGCCTTCTTCCTCTGGAAGCTATAAAAGTGGCCTGCAGTCAGCTGGGGACTGACTACCAGGCTCCTTGCTAAGCCCTGCAGCCTCTCAGCAGCTAGGCCTCATCTAGTATTGTGGCAGTGGAAGGGAGCTTTGGGTACTTTACTCTCTCTTCCTTTCTCTTATCTCTGTATTTTCTTCTTTTCTGTTCCTATGCTCCTGGGATGGGGATGATCATGTCAGCACTACACTTCTACAGTGCTTCTGCAGAGCCATTGGGTGAACTTGGAAATGTCACAGAGTCGCCACTCCCTATACCTGCAGAGCATTCCTGGACCTTTAGAAATTTCCTGGAGGAGCCCTGGCTGGTGTAACTCAGTGGACTGAGTGTTGGCCTGGGAACCATAGGGTTGCTGGTTTGATTCCCGGTCAGGGCCCATGTGTGGGTTGTGGGCCAGGTCCCCAGTTTGAGGCAACCACACATTGATATTTCACTCCCTCTCTTTCTCTCTCCCTTTTCCTCTCTCTACAAATAAATAAATAAGATGTTAAGAAAGAAGAAATTTCCTTGAGGGGAAGCACACCCCTCCCTGCATCATCCTAGGTCAAGTAGGCACCCTTTGTGGACAGAGAAACTTGACTGGGGTCACCTTGTTTTATAGAGCCAATGCCTCTGCAAAACATCCATAAATGACAGTAATAGGAACAGTAATCACTGCAATGATGATGACATGATGCATGGTCATGTGTCTTCTCTTTTCATAGAGAGGTAAACATTGATGATGTGAAAAGTTTGCACAGTGACAAGAACTGAACAGACTTTGAGGGGTGACTGCATTGTAAGCAAGGTAAAGGGTAAACCACTGTGTTGTGCACTGAATGGAACAGGCTGTTGTAACAGCCATATTTAGAAGAATTAAAAAGTGTTAACATTTACTCTCTGTGGCCCCACCTCACACAATGCCTCTGCATTCCATCCCTCTCCTTGTCTCCAAACCATTACCTGTCAGTGTATAGAATGTTAAGGGAGCAAGTTGGCAAGTTGGAGACAATCTGCTAGTCAGCCTGGGTGCTGTGGGCACAGGTCGAATTCCAGCTCAGCCAACTGCTAAATTTTGACGCCCTGGGAACCATTTCCTAGGCAGCCAGAGAATCCCATCCCCACTTTGTGATGTCAAAAACCCAAGGTGGCAGGCCCCAGAGTCCTTAGCGCAGGCTGTGGACTGTGGGTCCTCTGTGTCAGGAATGGAAGAGGAAGAAGCTGAGAAGGCAGCAGGCAAGACAGGAAGGGTGCCACCTTCAGCACACACAGGACAGCTTTCTGTGCCCCCTGAAGTCATATCAGGACTTCAGAGGAAAATGTCTTCAATCGAGTCTCCAAGCCAGGACCCAGGATTGCCCCTGTTTCCACCCGCGTCACCCTCCGTGGTCCTGAATGCATAGCCAGTACTGACCCTCACCTTAGGCATGGCCCTTGGCAAGAAAAATCTCCCTGGTAACCAAAATTGAGGTGCTCATGCCCCCAGTCATGGGGGCAGAGGGGTCCTGTCTCTTCACATCGCTGCATGAAGACAAAAAGACTTCCGGGATTCACCACCAACACACAGAACCCAGGAGTGACCATGGTAGGATCCATGGCGCCCTATCCAGCCACCCCATACCTGGATCGCTTGGCACATTGGAAGGGGAACAAGCCACCAACCTCTCTGTTCCCACAGCCATCTTCATTGGTCAGTGAATAGATCTCCGTGGGCAGAGGGGAAGCACCAGAGAGTGCTGGTCAAGCCCTCCGGGCAGCCCTGGGGACTTTGGACAACCTCTCCCTCAACAGTCCTGCCGGTCCAACCCCCCACAAAAAGACACAGCCCGAAGCCCCTGCGTCCCCAGCTCCATCCGTCCTGTATTGCTGGCCTCCTGGAAGTTGCCCTCCTCACTCCACAAGTAAGAAACCCAAAAGCTGCCTCCAGTGACTTCAGTGGGAGGGATCTGGATCGCTGGTCCAGAAAGGGTCCCCACCACCCTGGCCATAGGTCCCCTCCCAGCACACCTGGGATCCGGCCTCTCCACCCTCTGCTTGACCTCAGAGTAGCTTCCTTGGAGCTTGTGCCTAGCATCTTGTGACCCTGGTAGTGGAAGGGGTCATGGTGCATCTGAGGCTGAGGGCAGAATCTGAGGCTAAATCTGGGGACCAGCTAGATGTCAGGGATTGGAAACTGTTCCCTGAAGTCCATTGCATGTAAGAGTCATGCAAAGATCCTTGATAAGGGATCTTTAGACTTAGCTATTTAGGAAAAAGTTGGGCAGAAGTTGAAATAGCATGAGGTGGTGTGAGATAAGATTCTAGGTTAGTGTCTCACTCCCTCCTTTAGAGGATTTAATTAAAAAATATGGGTTTGCTTGAATTTTGTTTTTGTTTTGAAAGGAGCAGCTCAGTTTCAAAATATTTTGCTAAGCCTCTAGTAAACAGAATAAGATCACTAATGTTGTTACATCATAAGGATTCTACTCAGAATTTAAATTGATTGTTTAAAGAAGGAAAAATGTGTCACTTCCCTCAGACAGTAAAAAGCATAGGAAGAAAAACAATGAGAACATGTGTCTTTTAACCACTCTGAATCCTCCTTCTGGAGGCCCAGGGACTGCTTTAGTCCTAGGAACAAGCCATTTGGAGCTTAGGATCTCCCTCCCTCTTCTCAGCCTCCCTAAAGTTGTCAAGGGTACTAGACAGTGAGACAGCTCACTTTTGAGCACACTCAAGAAATGCAGTAATCAATAAGAATCAACAACAACAAAAAAGTAAATGTATTGCCAGTGGAGAAAAATTGTTTTTAAAAGTTATGAATATGTTAATAAATTTGTGAATCTAAAGCATGCTGTAAGTGGGGTGGGGGTGCGACATGTTACGGAAATATTAAGGATCCTCCCTGTCTGTGCTGGAGCCGTGACCTTTTATTGGAAAACTGAAATATCGGGGTACTGTCTCCTGGGGATAACTAGCCCTTCTCCATGGAAGATTAAGCACCATTTTTTAAAACTTACCTATAAAAACTGATTGTTTCCTAGGGGAAGCCCTGGCTATTCTCCTGGAGGGAAGGGTTAGTCAACTGAGTCATGAAAGGCCCTTGGCATGTAACCATTTTTGTCTAAAACATATTTTAGCAGAGCCCCGCCCCCCATCCTTCCCACTTACCTTATAAACTCTGAACCTAGGAGCTACCAGGTCCTGAGAACAACAGGGCAATTAACTTGCTGCTCAAACTCATTGAAGCGTGCAGAAACAGCAGGGGGCCTATCTTTCCAAGCAGAGGAAAAAATGGCGCTTTTAAAACTAAGGCTGTTCTTCAGCCACCACTTGGAGCCTGGTTCACAGGGAGACCTGCTCCCTGCTGGCTGCAATCTGGGAAACTAAGGATTAAGGGTTTAAAGCCAAGAGGAGCCCTCCCAGGAGGGTGAGAATCAGACTCCCAGGGCTAAACAGGAAAAGTAATAGGAAAAAGTTAAAGGATTATTTATTTATCATTCCCTTAGCTAACACGGACCTTGAGAGATTTGCTTTTTCTGTCCCTGTGGTTAATAATTCACAGCCTATAGAGAGATTTCCTTGGAAGGTTTTACCTCAAGGGTTGTTAAATAGTCCCAACTATTTGTCAGCATTTTTTCATCCAGCTGTTCAGCCAGTAGGAAATTTATTCCCCCAAAGTGTTATTTATTGTCACCTGGATGGCATCCTAATTGCAGCTCCCTCACGAGATATTCTAGCAAAAACTACCTTCTTTCTTAAAAACTCTGTGGCCTCTGCTGGACTAGTAATTACTCCAGAAAAAGACCCAGAATTCAGAGCCTCGGAAATATTTAGGCTATTTCCTTTTTAATAGGACAATCTGGCCTCAAGTTCTTCAGATTAATCCACCTAGAGATTTAACTCTTAATGGCCTCCAACAATTCCTAGGAGCAATCAGCTGGGTGCAACCCAGCCTTGGAATACCTACCCAGCAGTTAACTCATTTATTTAACACCCTTAAAGGGGACCCTGATCTTAATTCTCCCAGGAAATTATCCCCTGAAGCTTTACAAGAATTGACTATAGTAAATCAACATATTCAGCAGCGGCAACTAACTAGAATTGTTCCACAGTCTCCTGTCTGGCTTTGCTGCTTCCCAACCGCAGGCCCCCCAATAGGTCTAATAGGACAGCTGTCACCCCACTTAGCTAGAGTGGCTTTTCCTATCTCATCAACCACAACGTACTATTACCACCTATATAACCGCATTGTGCCATCTTATCATAAAGGCCCAAGAGCGAGCACAGCAGTTACTTGGTTATGATCCCGACTTTATTCACATCCCCTTAACTCAGGTTTATTTACAGTTAACTGCTGTGCCCAATCTTTAGAATTTCAGTGTGCTATAGCTGATTTTATAGGAGGACTGGAAATTAATCTGCCTGTGGAGAGATTGCTCCAAAACATTCCATTCCTTAAAATAAGGCAAACAGAAGTCAGCCCAACACCAATAACTGGGGTAAGAACTGTATTTCTTGACAGGTCCAGAAAGACCAGACAGGCCTCCAGTGCTTGGCAAGAAGGCAAAAACTGGAAAAACTTTGTCTCCTCGGGACACGTGTCCCCTCTACTCAAAGGGCCAAGCTTTTCACTGCAATCATGGCCCTGTGGCAATAGTGCCAGGAAGTTCTGAATAGTTTGTGACTCAGGATATACTGTTTATACTATTCTACATCTAGATCAGGCATTAATTAAAACTTTTATTGACTCCAATCTACTTAATCTATTTTTGACCCTACAGTCCCTCCTTGACAAGTGAGAACACCCCCTCTTCATTACTCATATTTGATCCCATTTGGGCCTGCCTGGCCCCTTGGTGGATTGGATGGTAACAATAATACAGATGCCTTAGTTAGCATCAATACTGCCCTCTAGCAGGCAGCAGCTTCTCATCAATTTTTTCATCCAAATAGCCAGGTACTCTGAAAGCAATTTAACATACCTTGCTCCCAAGCTAAGTAAATTGTTAAAGAATGTTCTGACTGCCAAGCTCTTACCAAGGCATCTCCATCCGATATGGGAAGCTTTGAAGAACCTTTGTTTACCCAAACCCCAAGCACCCTAGGAAGAGCAATAGGGCAGTTTGGGAAAGCAAACAGCAGGATATTCACAAGGGCTAGGACTAGCACCTCCGCATTTAGCCTTTGTACTCTGCTTCTGCCATGTAGCTAGAACTAACTTCCGCTTCTGTATCCCGCTTTGCTACCTAGACAGGAAGACCCTGTAGACTGTATAAACCCCAAGAATCCTCTGTTTGTGGCTCAGAATTTGGAGACTGACTCCTTTGAGCCCATGCATGTTAATAAACCTCGTACTCCAGAATCCCTCGGTGTCTGGTTGCTTCATTTTCCTGTAACACATCTATGGCAGTTAATCCTTGAGGACTAGGTTCTCAAATAATTTGTCAAACAGATGTCACTCATTACTCTCCCTCTGGAAAATTCAAATATATTCATATTTCTACTGATACTTATTCTGTCACCTTACATGCATCTGATTTAACAGGAGAGTCTGCAAAAAATATACAAGCCCATTATTGGCTTGAAGTCTTTAGTCATTTAGGATGGCCTCAGCAAGTTAAAACTGATAATGGTCCCCGATACCTTGACCATTCTACTCAGGTTTTCCTTCAACGCTAAAATATCCAGCATAAAACAGGAATACCTTACAATCCAACCGGTCAGGCAATTGTAAAACAGTCTCATCATATTTTTAAAAATCTACTTAAAAAAACAAAAAAAGGGGGAGTCATGAGTCTAGCCCCCAAATTTGACTGTTAGCCATGTTCACCTATAATTTTCTAAATTGTCATGAATCACTCTGTACTCCAATTGAGAAGTGTTTTCAGACAAAAGAATCAAAGCCACCCTACCTTCAGGTTTTATATAGAAATCTGCTGAGAGATGACAATTGGCAGGGCCCTGTAGATCTCTTAACATGCATGTGTTTCCACTCCTACAGGTCCTGTCTGGCTGCCAGCCAAAAGAATAAAGCCTTATCATGAGTGAAAGGCTTCACTTGTAGAAATAGACACCAAGCTCTGCTACCTAGAGGCAAGAACCCATCAACTAACAGACCAGGTGGCCCGGGTAACACTGGTCCACTAGAAGAAAACAAATGCTGGATGCCAGTGCTGAAAAATACTGTTTATGTTGCTGAACACACTTACCAGTTTGTTTTTCTGTACTTCTTAACACTGTTTGCTTTCTTTTAAAAGAGCAACTTTACACTGCAAACAAAGAGCAACGCATTAATTACTATCAGCTTTCCATAGTAGCCACAGTTGGCCTGCATACCCACAAGGGGGTCTACTATACTTCCAATCCCCCTCCGGTTCCTCCTTGTACATTAGACACCAGCTATAAAGACTCAATCTTCTGGTCTTTATGCCAAGGACAGAATGCCACTGTAGCTTTTCTCCCCAAAAGTCCTTTTGTGGTGAAGAATTGGAGTGCTAACTGGAGAATATTAGCTAAGGCTGATAATAAAACAATACTTCTGGCTCAGTCTCAATGCCTATATACTAATATGTAGTGGGAGGGGCCCAGCACTGGGGCACCTATTATCAGAATTGTTTCTCTTAACCACACTAGCCTTAGAGCATTAAACTCTTGGAAAGTGGGCTTGCCTTTTATTACTAGGAAGCATCCGTATATTTGAATTGGATGTGACCCTAAAGGTGTTCGCAGATGTTTCTATCAGATTGGCCCTCTAGAACAGGATTGGGTTATGGTTTGTACCTCTCACCCTTACCTGTTTTTAGCAACCCCAGGGACAGCTCAGGTCTTTTATAATGAATCTACAAAAATTTGTTCTCTGCCAGTCCCTGCAGGCTCTATATATGCCATCTACTTTACCCATCTCAATATTACTCAGTTAAGCCTCACTACAGTTTATATAGTTAGAAGGCAAACTCAAGTATGGATGCCAGTGGATGTAACCAGAGAATGGGAGGATCCCAATGGCATAATAGCACTTAACAATGCACTGTCCTCCTTAAGAGCCTGACTGTTCGTTAGGTTCCTAATTGCATTCATTGTCTCTGCTATAATTGTGGCAGCTATTGCTGCCATGACAACTACTGCCTTTGTTGGCCCAGTTCAAACTGCTCATACTGTTGATGTTCTCTTAACCAATACTACCTTAGAAATGATCCAACAGGCCCAGATTGATCAAAAGATCCTGACTTGCCTCTCTGCAGCTGAATCAGTGCTCAACTGGATTGGTAAGCGCCAGGACATACTAGTGACCCACCAGCAGCTGACCTGTGACCCTTGATTCTCCAAGCTGTGCATCATTCCACACCAGTGGGACTCTAGCCAGAACTCCTGGAGCAAAATTCAACATCACCTAAAGGGGGCTTTTTTTCTACCAATTTAAAGAGACAAATTGATAAATTGCAGCTAGAACTGCATCAGTAGTTACAGGACATTCAGTGCTTGACCAGTCAGGAGGTTTTTCAAACTCTCCATAATAATCTCATGCATAAATCTAAAAAAAATGGTTTAGTGGACTTAACCTAAGAGTGTAGGTCCTTGGAGCCACCAGTTGATTATTGATTCTAATAATGCTCTATATACTTTGCTGCATTTACAGATTATTTTCCCAGGGTTATGTGAAAGACCAGAAAGTAGCAAGCTTTGTAGGCCTCACTTCTGTAGCAGTCCTAACTAAAAACAAGGGGGGGGATTATAGAGAACAATGGGGAATATAGCCCAGCATCGAACCAGAAAACTGATTGAATGTGAGGTGGCACAGAGGACCCAGGCATGCAGATCGGCTTTCCCATGGGGAACAAGGCGGCGTGATGTCTAGGCTGCTTTAAGGCTTGCTTTTGCTAAAACTCCCTCACCCTGAGTTAAGACTGCAGATGTTTAATGTATATCTCTGAAGTAACTCCCTAAAGTCTGTGCTAAGCCGCCCCAAGGATGTAAGGTAACCAAATCAATCATTTTTATTGTTCCCTTGCATTTGCAACATTTTTTTTTATCAGTAAGAAGTAATCACTTAAAGTAAACCTAAGGATAATGAATGAGAACCTTCTTTGATGTAATGTAACTTGAAAGCGATAAAAGCTTGTCTAGTCAAGTGTTGAGGTGCTCTGTCTCTCAGAGAGTGTCTGTGCTGTCCCTTTTTTTCCCAAAGAACTTCTGCAGTCTGTGTGAATTTTTTCACTGCATCCACAACACACAGACCCCACGGGCTAGAGTATGCATCAAATTAGAATGGAGAGAGTGGACTTTTTTTTCTGGTCTTAAAAGGAATGCTTTTTACTATACACAATTGAGTATGATAAGATAGCCATGGGCTTATCCTATATGGCCTTTTATCAAGTTGAGAGACTTTCACTTTATAAGCTTTGTGTTGAGATATTTTTTTCATCATAAATTGATACTGAATTTCCAAATGCTTT